CACCATCATTCACCTTCCCCTCGGCGTCCCTGCAGGAGACCATCCGGGCCCGCCCTGGAGCCGCCATGGCCAACTTCTTTGAAGAAGGAGGTTGCTGGGCTTGACAACCTCTCGAGCACAAAGGCTGAAATGCACGTGCTATCATCAGATAGTACCCCGCAATTTCGGATACGAGTGAGGGGGCGTTTAGGTGGGTCGCGGGGCGGGTCGAAGGTCGCGGGGCCGGTCGGCGATAAGCCACTCACCCAGGGATGGCATATAGACCGTTCGGGCACCCTCACTCTGATCTTCAGCTTGAGATTCAGAACTCACGGTAACTCACGGTAACTTACGGCCACTCTGCAAGTCAGAACCCTCGGCTAACGGCAGCCAGGGTTCCACAAATCAGAACATATGAGCAATTCACGGTAAATCACGGCCTCTTTTGCTCAAGCACCTGCAATCCATGGCAGTCGAGCGTGGGGAATCTGCAACTCGCGGTAACTCACGGCAACTCACGGCCTCATTTGCCCCTCATTGGGAGCATCATATGTCGACACGCAACGTTCGAGCGCGGAAGACCTGCAATGCATGGCAATCCAGCGAGGGAAGCCTGCAACTCACGGTAACTTACGGTAACTTACGGCGAGAGTCTTGGAAGGATCCAACTGGAAAATTGCAAATCACCCTTTCTCACGTGCGTTCATGCCTGGGGTAGACGCAACTTACGGCAACTTACGCTAACTTACGGCACCTAGGGTGTTTGACCCAATTGCGGTGGCGCTTAATCTGCACCAAATTGAGAATTGCCAAACACTGTATTTCCTACATTATGCTAGCTTACGCTATCTTACGCTATCTTACGCTTGATTACGCTATCTTACGCTATCTTACGCTATCTTACGCCGGGGGCGGGCCCTCCTCACGCCATCTGACGCTAACTTACGCTAACTTACGCTATCTTACGCCGGGGAGGGGGGGGGGTACACCACTTTTACTCCTCTCCCCCATCATCGCCGTTCTCCTCCGGTTGCGTTTCTCGCCCCCCCAGGCCCGCGAGCGGCCGGGAGAAGGGCAGCGGGAGACCCGGGGGCCCGGGCATCGATGTTCAGGGACACGGAAGGCGCAGGCATTTTGCCAGGCCCGATCTCTCCTCGTAGTTTTCGGCTGGGCGCAGCTCGAAAAAACTTGGCCAAGGCGACCCTTGGGGGAGCTGTCCCAGCTGGACAGGCGGTGCGGAGCGCCACCGGGGAGCAAGCCTTTAAATTCTAGCGCGCCCTCGAGCGGCCAGCGAACTGCATCCTAGAAACAACGTAACATTGAACGTTCGGATGTTGTTTGCGCGGGTTTCATGCGTCGGCAGTGCCCGCCCCTAGCACATGGCACGCTTCGCGCGTCATGCGAGCTCGGGGCGGCCCAGCGCCGAACGCAGGGCAACCCGCGCGGACAACATCCGATCATTCATGTTTATGTGGTTTCTTTCTGAAAAAACTGCGCGCAGCACAGGAGTCTCTCGACAATGCCGATTGCCTGGAGGCGGAAGGTGGGAGGAGGACATTATCTGCTCTACCATCTCCCTCCTCGCTCCATCCCTCTTCATTCTACCTCTCATCCTGGTCGGGGATTGGCAACTCACGGTAACTCACGGTATCTTACGCCCGCGTAGGCGGAGAGGGGGAAGGTGAGGATGATGAAAAGATGAGGGGGAAGGTGAATGAGAGAGGAGGGTGTGCAGTTTAACGACATTTGTTGACATTGAATATTCATATATATATATATACATGTATATATACACATCTAGATATTTTTATTCAAATGCACATTCACACATGAATGCATGTATCTATATACACAGGTGTATATATTTGCGTATTTATATGCATACGTATACAGTACAGAAATCCAACCTTACGATATCTTACGGCATCTAACGTAAGCGCGTGCAGTGTCTCAGACATGTCGATGATATTTTTTGTATATGTATACATGTATACATCTATAGGTAAGTCGGTGTATGTGTATGTAAGTTACATACAGCCAGTATTACGCGATCTTCCAGTATATAAGGGTAGCGCGTGCAGTTGTTCAGAAAGGTCAATTGTGTACACAAGTCTACGCATACATACTTACATACATACATGTGCGCATGTGTTTATACATGTAATGTATTGATTACACACCTTACGCTATCTTACGGTATCTAATGGTAGCGCGTGCAGTTTCCCAGCAAGGTTTTGAACATACACCCATCGATATGTACATACGTGCATGGAACTACTCATATGTTACATACACACATACACATGCATACATATGCGGATGTACATGTAAGTTACAGGCAGCTCATCTTACGCTATCTTACGGTATCTAATGGTAGCGCGTGCAGTTTCTCATAAAGATGGTGCACATACACACGCATTCATGTACATATATATATACGTGTATGTAATTCTGAATTTGTATACATACATATGCATACACATGTGCACATACATTGATGCGTACATTTACATGCACATGTAAGTTACATCATACTTATCTTACGTTATCTTACGGTATCTAATGGCAGTGCATGTTTTTTCACAAGAGAATATTGTACACATGCGTGTGTTTGCATGGATGTATGTATGTGCAAAACATTGCTTGTATATACATATCGATATCTAAATTTCACACATGTGTATCTATGTGTTGGCGTGTGCATGCGCATGTACATATATAACAAGTGTATCTTACGCTATCTTACGGTATCTAATGCTGGAGTGTGCGTTGGAGTTGGGGTTGAGCGGACCACCCTCCATCATTGTCATGGATTGACAACTTGCGGCAAGTCGAGATGAGGCCAGGCTTATATAAAGCACCCCTGCATGCTCGCATGCAAAGTGCGGCCGAACTTCCCGGGCAGTTCGGCATTCAGAGCCTGGCCTCCTTGAAAATACGATTGCTATGCGGTTGGCCAAGTGAGTCAGGATAGGGAACTGGGGGGGGAAAGGGAGGGGGAGGAAGAGTGGAGGAGGAGGAGGAGGCGAAGAGGAGGCGGCCAGAAGAGCGCGGCCCGATCAAGACAGGCGACCGAGGGGCAGGGGGTTGGGAGGAGGAAGGAGGAGGAGCGGGGGGGGGAGAGCAGAGGGAGGAGGAGGAGGAGAAGGACAATAATCACAATTGGCCAACCACGATGCTACAGCACTACTGGCTCTGCTGAGCCTTGAGCGCCTGAAGCTCCGAGAGAACCTGAGGCAGGCCCGCGTCCTCCCCATGGGTCCTGGCTGCAATCGTTCGAGACCAGTTCGCCCAGCGGGATGCCATCGTCGTGGCAGCGATGGTTCACGAACAGATTTCCCACGGCTTCACCGAACCCGATCGGGTATGCTTCCGTTCCCTTCAGAGCCGGCGCTCCCCAAACTTGCACTGTCCCATCGCTCTTCTCGGTGTAGGTGACTGTTTCGATGGTTGACGGCTGGCTGGTGTCCCGGGCCTTCCAAAGACTACTGATACTCAAAGTGTTTGCATGGAGGATGGTGGCCTTCGGACTCTCAGCTCCATACGGTTGCATCCACATGCGAAGCACATTCATCGAGTCTCCTAGAATATGGCAGAGCTGTTCCCATCTAGGGTGACGCTCGAAAATCGATGAGCTCGGCTGCTCCGCAATCACCATTGCGTTGTGGAGCAGCACAGCCAAGGCCACTAACAGAACAACACGGCTTACTTGCATGTTGGCTCTCTGAACGAAGGGCTGATGATTTCCCAACGGATGGTGTTGTCGACCTGTTTGGAAGCGGCCCACCCAGACCCACGTGCTGCACGGGGGGGCAGCCCAGAGCAACCCCCCAGGTTCCAGGGCAACAACGTATGTGAGTGCTTTGACGAAGCCTGCTGTGGTCGTAATGTCATCGGATTCTGCAACGGTCTTGAAATCCAATGCCACTCCAGAGAGAGCGTGATTGCGAACACCATTCGTGATCGAGCGACACCCTGCAAAAAGCTCGACGCTGTGCACGGGCATTGGGTTCCCGCCGAGATCCAGTAGCAAGCCGACGATTGCCAACAACATGCCTGGGGGAGTAGGAGGAGGAGGAGGAGGAAGAGGAAGCGGGCGGAGGATGAGGGCGGGGAAGGGGAGGAAGTTGAAGGGAAAGGGGAGGAGGAGAGATGGGAGTAGGGGGCCCGAATATAGGCGGGAGGGGGGGGAAGCTTAAGATACCAACCCTCAGTTGTTCTTCCTCTCCCCTCTCCTCCTCCTCCTCCTCCTCCTCCTCCTCCTCCTCATCCTCATCCTCATCCTCATCCTCCTCCTCCTCTGCCTCTTTCGACGGATGTGCAACTTACGGTATCTTACGGTATCTTATGCGTTTCTTGCCCGGAGTCGGGAACCTGGCACGAATTTCGAACTCTTCATGAGGTGGCATTGGCCTGCCAGCGACGAGCAAGGAGCGTTCGCCATGGCTACCGAGTCATCATCGGACGCAGATGGTTCGATCCCAGGATCTTCTAACATGCTAGAGTCGCTGCTGCTCGACATGCTTGCAAGTGGATCTTGGGCCCCATACAGCTAGGCCAAGCGCGCGAGGCGAAGAACAGTCAGATCCCTAGGCCGCCTAACTTCGCTGTTATCTTCGCGCCCTCTCGACGCCGCTCTGGCGGAGGGTATCTCACGCTATCTTGCGGTATCGAACGCGCGAAGCGCGATTATCTTCGCGCTATATGGCTGACCTAAAGGACCCTGGCCCTTGTCGAGCACAGCGGCAATTCTTGTCCTGTCGTGCGCGGCCGAACGTGCCGCCCGTCGCTGCCGACTCCGTGAGTCGCAGCTCCCAACTGGCCCACAGTGGGGGCGCGTGCCCAGAAACCAGTTGGATTTTGCCAGAGTGCCCTGGGTTTCTTGGATTTCGATGGGCCCCCAATCAGAACTTTGCGATTTTCGATCAGCACATGTGGATTTTCACCGAACAAATCGCGGATTTCAGGGTTGGGTTTCTTGCGGAGGTTTCCTGTGGCCGAGCCCCCACTGCATACACGATCTATTTGGGGGCAGGGAGCCCCATCTTGTGCTCAATGAAATGGTCGAGCAACTGCGTCTGGATGGCCATCCAGCTCGCCTCTGGGTTCTCGCCCCACTTGATCTGGGGCGCCTTGACGTGCTTGGGTTTCACGATCCTGAACGCTTTGTCCTCGAGCAAGACCTGGGATTCCGAGCGCCACTTCAACAGACTATGGGGCATCTTACGGTATCATACGGTATCTCACGCCATATTGCCCCCCGATTGAGTTGTCGTGCAATCACCATGAGGGGCCCTACAGTCAACTAGTACAGCAAGGTTGCGCGATAAGGATGCAAGTGCCATGGGCGCCCATTTCGAAGCTTTTCGAGCGGGGCGCGCCCAGCGACGGCGGCGAATGATGGACCGAGGAGGCGAGGATGCAAGGGTACCCTTGTAAAGGCTGCTCATCCTTGATACGCGGGTTGGCTGTAATCAGCTCACGCGCGACTACACGAAGCGGTCGAAGCGGACCTTCATGTCACTGTTCAGTTGCGTCCTCCAAAACCTCACCTCCCCCTCATCCTTCTCCTCTTGCTGCTAGTGCTGCTGCTCCTCCTCCTCCTCCTCCTCTTCTTCCTCTCCCCTCGTCCGCACCCCCCCTCGCGGGGTGACGGGCCGAGCGCGTCGCCCTCGCGGGTGGCGGGCCGAGATCCCCCAGGGCCCCTCCCCACGCGGCGGCGGATCGAATTCGGCCCGGCGCTCTCGGCTCAGCGGAAGCCCTCGACCCCATCCTCCTCGCTTGGCACGCGGGCCGCCGCCGGAGGAGGAGGAGGAGATGAAGGGGGGGGTCAGGAGGAGGAGGAAACGAAGGGAAGAGGGAGGAGGTTTTTGTTGAGGAAGAAAGATGGCATAAACATAAACGTTCGGAAGTCAACGCGGGGATTTCTTGGATCGCCGCTGGACACCCTTCCTCTGCGCGCTGAGCACGCCAGGGGCAGCGCCATAGGCGCCGCCAGGGGAGGGAGTCCTGCGCCAGCCGAAGGAATCAGCGCGGACCTCCGAACATTTCTGTTCATGTAGTTTTGTTATTAGTCGGTTGTTTGTTGTTGTTACCTCGGAAGTTTGTTTGCCCGGATACTTCAACCCTGCAGTCGTGGCCGCGCTTCCCGATCGTGATGTTCTTGCTGTAAGAATGCTCGCCGCGGGGTCCGGGGCTCGGGTGGAGCTTGGCCGGCGTGAACGCGAGGAACTCCTGACGCCGCGCGTTCCAGTCAGCGGGGTCGCAGAGCGTCTTGCCGAACTTGCTCTTACGAGCGCCATCTTTGGGAAGCATGCGAGGCCAGGTGGGGTTTCGCGAGGTGGAGGGGGGGGATCAAGCCTCCCCCTCCGCCTCCTCGTCCATGCACACGTATGTGTGTATACATATGTATGTGTATATAAAAATTACAACACTACAGAACCTGTGCCTTACGCTATCTTACGGTATCTAACGCTAGCATATGCAGTTTAACAAATATGGTCGACCATACTATGTGTAAATATCCATACACACATGAACACATGTCGATGCACTTGTACACACATTCGTACATGCATATACACATAACAACATATATGCGTATTGCCATACTTATATGTGCGTATACACATGTATATCTGTATATACGTATATCATGCAACAACTGTCTTACGATACATTACGGTATGTAACGCTAGCGCGTCTGATTTCACATAATAGCGTCTCGCGCGCACACCGGCGCACACACAAACATACGCATATGTGTACTCACGTATTACAGAACTTGCACTTCACGATATCTTACGGTATCTGATGCTCGCGTGTGCGTGGGTGAAAAAAACAACACGGAATGATAACCTCTAATTCTTCCTCACCGAGCCGCCTCTGCCGCACCCCCCAAACCAGAACAACGGCCAGAACCACATAGCGTGGCAGAGCATAGCATGGCATTGCATAGCTCTAAACCATCTGAACATATATATACATACATGCGTGTGCGTGTTCATCATCGTTGTCTGACGGCCAGCCTGACACTTGCGATATCTTACGGTATCTTACGGTGCGTGATGCTGCACCGTAGCGCAGCATAGCATAGCAAAGCATAGCATAGTTCAATGCTAAGTGTGGATGTATGTGTATATATATATATATATGCGTGTTCATCATCGTTGTTCGTCGGCCAGCCTGGCACTTACGATGTCTTACGATATTGTACGGTGTTTGTTGCCGCTGCGTGGCATAGCACAGCATAACATCAATGCTATGGTGTATGTATAGGTGTGTGTGTGTGTGTGATCATCATCGGTATGCGCTGGCCAGTCTGTCACTTGCGCTATCTTACGGTATCTTACTGTGTTTTCGATGCCGCGGCGCCTGGTGCTGAAGATGTTGCTTCCGCGGCGTCCGAACATGGTGCTGAAGATGATGGCATCGCTGCGTCATCACCTGGTGCTGAAGATGATGCCATCGCTGCTGCCGGCCTCTTCATCCTTGCTGTCGCCTTTGCCTTCCCTTTTGGCTTGGGCTCACGTGTTGCGTCTTCCTCTGACTCCTCAGCGGCCGCCTCCTCCATGCCATCCTCAGCCGCCTTTCGGGCGGCCCGCGACTGCGGCGGCTTCTTGCCCTGGGCCTCCAAGAGCAACATTGCCGCCAGCGGGGGCTCGCTCGGCGGCGGGAGCCCACGCTTGTCCTCCTCTGCCTCCTCTGGCGCCTCCTGCGCGTCCTGCGCGTCCTCATGCGGCGCCTCCTCGTCGCACTCATCGTCCTCATCTGAGCGAGCGCCTTCAGGGAGATCATCGTGCTCCTGCCACGAGCCATGCGGCTTGCCGCCGTCCGCCTGCGTCTCGTCGCCTGCGGCTCGCCACTCCTGCCTCGTCACTCGCCTGCTCTCGCCACCCGCCTGCGGCTCGCCGCTCGGCTTCCCCTCGCAGCCCAGAGACTCGTCGTCGGAAATGACCATTGCGTGGCCCACGAGCTCCTGGCTCGTGGCGGAGGCTATGGGCGCGGGGGCCGCCTGCACCCATCACCCCCGCCGCCACCAGGCGTCCTATAGACCGAGGACGCCTGGGATAGGCACCACAAGTTCGTTCCTCTCCTTCCTCTCCTTCCTCCGTCCTCTCCTCTTGCCCATCCGTTCTCTTCCGTCCTTCCTCCATCCCTTCCCTCCTTCAGCTTTCGTCCTTCCTCCGTCCTCTCCTCTCCGTCCGTCTCCTTCCTCTCCTTTTTTCTCCTTCCTGCGTCCTTGTTGATGCCATCCACGTTGTGCACGCTATCCGCCTTGGACATCATCAGGTTGGCCGCGATCTGCTCCAGCTGAGCCTCCGTCAGCGAGGGATTGGCATCTGCCAGCTCCGCCACGATAAGGTCCACGTCCTCCTTCTTCGGCACCTCCTGAGCCTCGCCGTCTGGGATAGGCACAGCCTCGGGCTCCATGGACAGGAGGTTCGCTCTCTTGAACTTCGGCTTCGTCCTCTCCTGGGGGACATCGTTTTGTTCCCCTCTTGTGTTTCTTTCTCTATCTCTCTCCCCCTGTGTATGTATACATATTTATATATAGCCACAGAACATGTATCTTACGCTATCTTACGACATCTAACGTTAGTGAGTGCGCGTTGACATAACTGGATTTACATACTATGCGCATGTGTGTATATGTGTATACATAATACAAGAATACACATACGCGTATATGCATACACATATACATATATGTGCATATATTTATATATGTACACAAATTACAAACATACCTTGAATCATCTCGAGCCGAGATCCTATCATCATCGCGCAGGGCCCTGGGCAACTTACGATATCTTACGGTATCTAACGGTACTTGTGCCCAAATATCATCACCATCCCCCTTCCCCCTCTTCCTCCCTCTGAGGGGAAGTGGGGGAGGGGGCAACTTACGATGTCTCATGATTTCTAACGGTACTGATGGCATACTGTCCGAACATCCCCACCATCCCCCCCCCCTCCTCCTCCACCGCACCCTTTCCTCTGAGTGGGAGGGGATATGATGGGGAGAGGGGGGGGGACCTTACGATATCTTACGATATCTAACGGTACTTGTGCCCCAACATCATCACCATCCTATGTCTTGTTCCTCCTCCCCTTTTCCTTCGGAGGGCAACTTACGATATCTCACGGTATCTCACGGCCTGCAGTAGGAGCTCCGGCCACAAGACATTTTCCGCAAAACAATCAACACTGAATCACCAGGAAAGTTGCCGATGTTTTTGCTTGGGAACCCCTTCGTTTCCTTTTGTAAAACCACCGAAACCCAAGAGACCCAGGGTACCCTGGTGGGAGCAGGGTGTTTCTTGGCATGAGCCCCCACTGTATGCCCCCCTCCTCATACTCATGCACCTCGCTATTTCTCTTACTCGTGGCCCATGGGTACCATCCTGCAGCCGCGGATCAGCATACGCCGCACCCAATCCCAGACTGCCGGGGCTGATCTGAACCGGGTGCGGATCCTTCTCTGGGTCATCATCCTTCTCTGGGGTCTCAATCTCCGACGAAGCACCGCGCCTAGTCCTGGTCACAGGCTCGGGAGGGACCAACTTCTTCAACTCGGCGATCTGGTCGTCCTGGGGGCCCACATGGCTGCGGGCCCAAAACTCACGACCGGACCTCACGACCCAATGTTTCATCTTGCGAGCCTGATCGATCCGCAAGGGTCATGACGCCCGAAGCGGGACGCAAATTTCACTCGTTTTTTTCACGAGCATCCGCGCCCATCCCCCTTCCCCCTTCTCCTCCTCCTCCATCTCCTTTCTTTGAGGGGGAGGGGAGAGGGGAGCAACTTACGCTATCTCACGGTATCTAACGCCCACCATCCCCATTCCCCTCCTCTTCTTCCTCCACCTCCCCATCCTCTTCTTGAGGTAGAGGGAGACCCTTGGACCCACATCGGTCCCTTGACCCTGTTCTGGAAGATCTGGCCAGGCGCAACAAATAGCTGACCATCGCGTGGATGACCTGCGGGTTTGCATATGTATATATGCGTGCGTGTGTTCATCATCATTGTTCGTCGGCCAGTCTGACACTTACGATATCTTACGGTATCTTACGGCGTTTGATGCCATAGTATAGCATAGCATAGCTCAATATTGTATGTATATGCGTTTGTGTTATTCATCGATGTTCGTGGGCCAGCCTGGCACTTGCGATATCTTACGGTATCTTACGGCGTTTGATGCCACAGCGTGGCATAGCATAGCATAGCTCAATATTGTTTATGTATATAGATATGCGTGTTCTTCATCGTTGTTCGTTGACCAGCCTGGCACTTACGATATCTTACGGTATCTTACGGCGTTTGATGCCACAGCGTGGCATAGCATATCATGGCATGGTTCAATACTACAGATACGCGTGTGTCTTCATCAACGTTGTCCGACGGCCAGCCCGGCACTTACGATATCTTACGAAATCTTACGGCGTTTGGTGCCGCAGCGTGGCATAACATAGCATAGCATTGTTGAATACTATATACGTGTGTCTGTGCGTGTGTGTGTTCATTATCATTGTTCGTCGGGCAGTCTGGCAGTTGCGATATCTGATGGTATCTTATGGCATGTGATGCCGCAGTGTGGCATAGCATAGCATAGCTCAATATTGTAGATATGTGTGTCTTCATCATCGTTGTCTGACGGCCAGTCTGGCACTTACGATATCTTACGGTATCTTACGGCGTTTGATGCCACAGCGTGGCGTAGCATAGCATAGCTCAACAGTGTACGTACATATGTATATAGATATGTGTGTGTTCTTCATCGTATTTCGTCGGCCAGCCTGGCACTTACGATATCTTACGGTATCTTACGGCGTTTGATGCCAGATCGCGGCGTGGCATATCATGGCATAGTTGAATGCTTCAGATACTTGCGTGTCTTCATCATCATTGTCCGACGGCCAGCCTGGCACTTGCGATATCCTACAGTGTCTGACAGCGTCTGGTGCCGCAGCGCGGCGTAGCATAGCATAGCATTGCATGGCATAGCTCAATACTATTTAAATATATATATATATATGTATGTGTATGCGTGTGTGAGTGTGTTCAACATCGTTGATCGTCGGCCAGCCCGACACTTACGATGTCTTACGGTATCTTACGGCGTTTGATGCCACATCGTGACATAGCATAGCACAGCATAGCTCAATGCTATATGCGTGTGTGTGTGCGTCCATCATCGTTGTTCGTCGGCCAGCCTGGCACTTGCGATATCTTATGGTATAGTATGGCGTTTGATGCCCCAGCTTGGCATAGCATAGCA